GCGCCGATGTAGTCTCGGTCAGCGTCGCTATCCCCCCTTGTCGCCCGGCCCGAGTATAGCCCAAGGCTGCCTCGACACCCCCACCTCACGGCGCGGAGCGCCTCGGGGGCGCCCCTGGAGGCGGCGCCGGGGCGTTGGGACCGCCCTGGGCTGCTCGGGGGACCCTCCTCCTCCTCATCCTCCTCCTCCTCCTCCTCCTCATCCTCATCCTCCTCCTCCTCCTCCTCATCCTCCTCCTCCTCTTTCCCTCCTCCTCCTCCTCCTCCTCCTCCTCCTCCTCCTCCTCCTCCCGCGCAGCCCGAGGCCTCACCACGTGGGGCAGCGGGCAGTGCCCAAGCGGGGGCCGCCTGTGAGGGGGGTTCCGCCAGCTCCTCCCTGAGATACGGACGGGAGAACGACCACAGCCACTGCTTTGCTTTTCTTGCCGCCTTCCAGCCAGCAGAAACAGAGCAGTGGTTGTGGTCATTTTCGTAAGGCTTGGCACCAGGGAAATGACCACAGCCACTGCTTCTTGTTCGGCCGGCTGGAGGGCGGCGCAAACAAGAAGCAGTGGCTGTGGTCATTTTCCCGTCCCGCATGAGAGGATGGAGGCTCGAGGGCCGAGGGTGGGGGAGGCTCTCGGGCGGTCTCGAGAGCTTGCCTGGCGGCACGGGTCTGGCACGGGGGTCGGGGAAGCGCAAGTCTCGAGCACGACGGGACTCGGGTTGGCCGGCGCCTTTCGGCGAGCGCGCCCTTGGTTTTCTGACGGTCCAGATTTCGTGGGATGTCTGCAGCGGGGGGTCGCATCAAATTTCTGACTGGGTTCTGACTGGGCCTCGTCCTTCCGAGCATGCTCTTTGGGTGGAGGGCTAAATGTTCGAGGCTTGAATCTGCAAAAGGTGAGTCACAAGACGGATTGATTTTCGAGGTGCAAAAGCCCACATGGATTTCACCCTGAGCCCTCCACCCTAAGAAAATGCTCAGTCATTCTCATGATGGCCCCATCAGGCCAGCCCGAGTCAACCGAACTCGAGAGTCTCACATCTCTCCGAGGGGGGGGGTCTCCTCGAGGAGGTGGCGACCCTCCCCCCGGTGGTGAACTCCCTTAGCATAGGGGGGGGGCGTCGAAGAGGGTGGTGAGGACCAGGGTTAAGTCGGGCCTGTCCCTCCACAGGGGGCAGATTCAAAAACAGTCGGAAAGAACAGTCTGGGGACGATGTTTTGATCATTTTTGAGCATGTTGGGGGTATTTGTTTGGCATGCTTGATTTTTCGTCCAATATCCCCCTGTAGGGTGACATGCCCGACCTAAGACCAAGGACCCGGGGAGGATATCATGGCCGGGGCCCCGAAACCTCCCGGAGTTCATGGCCCCCTCGTCTACTTTCGACACGGTCGGACCGAGGTATAGAAGGTCGAGGTCGGCTTGGGGAGGGAACCCTGATCACTGCTCTTCGCGTGCTCGTTGGATGCATCTTGTGCATCCTGGTGGAGAGGGCACCCTCGAAGGCTCTTCGGTTTGGCCGGCGGAGGGCCCCATGGTTCCGAAGGCTGCTCTTCTGTCCCAGGTCTGGGCGTGCCTTCGACGCGGCCCCTGGCCCCCCCCGCCTGCGCACATGCCTCGGGCCAGGGTGCGATCCTCCCCCTCTTCCTGCCGCCCCCCCAGGGCTCACTTCGATTCCTCCGATTCGATGCGATTTCGATGGCCTCCGATTGCGATTCCATTCGACTTCGGATTCCGATGCGGAGGCCGATTCCTCACTGGAGGCCCACCAGCTTGCCGAGTTCTGCCGGTTCGACTTCTCCCGACTTGGCTGCAGATTTCTGCCGATCCGATTCATTTCGATCGCCGATCCGACTTATCGATTCGATTCTGGGCTCTCCCCCCCTCCGGCGCACCCGAGGACCGCCCGTTCCCTCCCAGGAAGGGGTCCAGAGTCCTGGGGCCCCGCGACTTAACAAGTGGAGTCGTCGGAGGTCTGCTTGATTACAGTGGAGGCCCATGCCAAGAAACAACTTGCTTGCCTCCAGGGCACGGTGCCCTGGGTTGCTTGGGCTTCGACGGCTTTGCTGTGGAGAGCGTGACGCTCCCACAGCAAGAATAGTTGAATGGACGTCTTGGGGTCTCAGGGTCGGGCTTCTTGTGGAAGGTTTCTTGTGGACGAGCCCTGAAGGGGGGCTCTGGCGGCCCGGGAAGGCTGCCAGGGAGCCGAGGAGTTCGCGAAGGCCGGCCGGCGATGGTCCCAGAACGGCTCAACGAGCACCCCGAGATTGGAGACGATACGGACAGCCGTGCTTGGGTCGTGGGCACGAGGGCTCTCGGGTGTTTCTTGGGGTAGATGCCTCTCAGGGGCCACTTTGGAGGCATGTTTAAGCCCCCGGGGGCCAGCGATTGTCCCAGAACGGCTTGACGAGCACCCCGAGATTGGAGACGATACAGAAAGCCGTGCTTGGGTCGTGGGCATGAGGACTCTTGGGGGTTTCTTGGGGCAGATGCCTCTCGGGGGCCACTTTGGAGGCATGCTTGAAGCCTACCGGGGTGTCTTCAGGATCTCTCGGGGTGCCTCTTCGGGCTTACCGGGGGCCTTCGGGGCGGCCCCGACCCCCCGGGGCGGTGAAGGGATCAAAGGGAAGGGGCCTTCATTCTCCTCGATCACGACGTTCCTCGATTTCCGTTGGGTTGACAGGCGTGGAGACGTCCTCGCGGTAAGGAACCGATGTCCTCGGGTCGGTGCGTATGGAAGCGTGCCCAAGGTAGTTTCAGGAAAGCGGGGGAGAGCTTGAGGTCCGTACTGGAGCTGAGAGGAAGGCCGTCATCTCCCCACATGCCGACTGAGTCGGCGACTATAGTATTATCATGTTTCTTCTTTTTATCATCCTCTTCGTCCTCATCGCCCTAAGGAATCAGCGCATCCGAGACCTGTTCAGATACATCGACGGGAACATGAACGGAAAAGTCTCCCTCAAAGAGTTCGTTTCCTTGGAAGGGATTCGGGAGGCGGAGGAGGAGAAGGAGGAGCAGGAGAATGAAGACCTTCGACCTAGGTGTAGGAGGAAGAGCAGCATGGGGAGGACAAGAAGTAAGCAGGAAGGACGGAGGAGGGAGGAGGACCAGGAGTGGGGAGGAGAATGAAAAGGGAGAGGAGGAGGAGGAGGAGGAAGAGGACGAGGAGGAGGAGGAGGAGGAAGTGGAGGAGGAGGTATTGGGGAGGAGGGAGGAGGGGAGGTGAGTACGAGGGGGGAGAGGAACAGGAGAAAGGACGAGACACTGAAGCCAACGATCGGCGCATTGGTTACGAGCGCCGGCAGATCATTGTTGCCTAGGTATGCCACGCTTCTGGCAGAAGTCCAGAGCCGTGGCGAGATTGAGTGCGGCTCAACTGCGCAAGCAGTGGCGAACCCAACGCGCGGACATGCAGTCCACAGTGTGCGAACCTATGGTTGCTGGCGCTTCTCCCCTGCTCTCCCCTCCCTTGCTGCTCTTCCTCTCCTTTCCTCAGCCACGGTGCGCTCTCTCGAGCCGGTGGAAGTGCGAACCAATGGCTGATGTCCTGGGGGGCGAACGAGACACCCAAAGTGCGCTCCTCTGTTGCACCCCGAGGGCCGCGCGTAGAGTTGGAGTTAGGGACAGAGTTAGAGGTTGACGAGAAAGATCCGCTCCACGCTTCACAGAGACAAGCTCGAGCGAGGTCGAGGGGGGCCATGCTGCCAACCCGCCGGGGGCCCTGCTGCCAACCCGAGGGGGGCTGCCAATCGCCCAGGCCCCCACCGCCACCCCAGCACTCGCAGAGGGGGAAAAGGTACCCCTGCCGCTACCCTTCCCTCGGTTTCCCCTTTTGGGGCCTCCTGGGAGTCCCTCGTCGCCACCGCTGGATGCGCCTCGAAACCCTGGTCAGAACGCACTCCGGGAGAGGTCCAGGGAGTAACGGTATCGGTAGCTGCTGGTTTCGCCAAGATCTCTCCGGGTATCGCAACGGTGCTGTCGCTAGAAAGGTTCATGCAGTTGCACTCGCGCGTTTAGGTTCCAAGCCGCGCACGCATTTTGCCCGGTGGGCGGCGGCGGAGCGAGGTGGATGTTGTGTGCGGTGTTTCTTCTTCTTTTGATTTTTGTTGCAAAAAGGTGGTCAGTTGTCAGAATCAGCCGGGCGTTGCGGAGAACGCAAGGGATAACATTGGATCATTGTTGTTGTGGTTCGGAGACGCCTCGCGCATCAGGCGTGCAGCTTCTCCATCACCGAACCGAACCTCCTTGGGGCACATGCTTGCCCCCGACCTCGGGTGCGCTCGACCCTTTCTGCCTCTTCCGCCTCGCCTGTGGTACGCGAGTGCACACGGCGCGCCTCGGGGGACAGGCGCTTCGGGTGTGATGAGGCGCGTCCAGCCCCTGGCCACTAGTGCCGGGGGCGTTGGGCAAGGACTGCGCGTTTCGCGCGCGCCTGCGTTCACACGCGCGCCATGTTTTGCAATTGCATGCTCGCACGTCTTGCTGTTTGGGGGGGGCTGTTGGAGCGAGGTAAGTTCTGGAGCACTGGACAGGCCTGCTACGGGATCCTTGGAGCCAACCTGTGGTTGTCCAGGCAGGCGCGCACGCGGAACAGGCCAGCATCACAAGCATGCCGACGACCAGCGCGGCGACGGTCGACAACGACTGCCTGAATTCAGGGACCGCGACGACGCGGCAAGAGAAAGTAATGCTCGTGTTGCAATATGAGCGGGGCATCACCGAATATGTCTGGCACACCATTGGCCGTGTCCAGGAAGAACGGGACAACGGTGACGCCCTCAAGCAATTACCACTGACAGCAACCTGCCCAGGGCAGGCACCTGGAGCAGCGCGAGGCAACCGTTCGGCACATGGGCGAAGTCGACGGCGCGGAGGGAGGAGAGGGAGAGAGGGAGGACGAGAGGGGAGAGGATGGGTGAGCAGGAGAAGGAAGGAAAAAGGTGGAGGAGTCATCCTGCTACCTTATCGTGACGCTCTGCTTCCATCTTCGCATTCATCTTCCATCATCCCCCTCACCCATCCCCTTCATTCCTTCGAACTCCTCTTGCACCGCGGATCCTCGCTCCTCCCCCCAAAGGGAGGGCCGCAAAGATAAGAAGATGAGAAATAATATTGTCTGATTTGGGGGGGTAAAACCCCCACACACACCCCGAACGGGGAGGGGTCCAGAATCACCCCCCTCCCCCAAGTCAAATTATTGGGGTCCAGACTCCCCCCAAGGCCGCGACGACGACGACGACGACGACGACCACGGTGACCACGACGGCGACCACGGCGACCACCACGACGACGACGCCGACGCCGACGACGGTGACGACGACGACGACGACGACGACGACGGCGACGGCGACGGCGGCGACGGTAGCGGTGGTGCACGTGACCTATTTGGGGTTTGGTGTGGCCTGTGGTTGATGTGACCTAATTGGGATTCTGGTCTGGCCCGTGGTAGCGACGACGACGAAGACCGCGACGACGACCACGACGACGACGACGAAGACCGCGACGACGACGACGACGACGACGACGACGACGACGACGACGACGACGACGACCGCGACACCGACACCGACACTGACACCGACACTGACACCGACACCGATGACGGCGACGACGGCGACGGCGTCGGCGGCGGAGGTGGCGACGGTGGGGGGTGTTCGTGACTGCCCCCCCCTTCCGCAGGGGGGGTCCAGACCTCCTGGTTCGTGGATGAAGTGGTGTTTGGGGGGTGGGGGGGGAGAGGGTTCCCCGGTTTCTGAGCCCCCCCCTCGGACTTATTCGGGGCGGGGAAGGCCGGTTTCTGAACCCCCCCTCCCTAGGATTTTCAACGTGCCAGCGGCGGTCGGTGGATGGCGCTCCCTCGAAGATTGGGAACTCGGGGGATGGAGGAGGAGCAGCAGCAGCGGGACCGCGAGGCGTCAGGACCGCCGGGAGCTTCCCGGCCAGCATGTGGAGCAGGAGGGGCCACGTCGTGCTCGAGAGAGGCGCTGGCTCTCGGGCCGCTCCTCTCAGATACACAGGTCGCGGGACCTGGAGGCTCGCGGTGGCCTGGAAGTCCCTTCGTTCCTCCAGGCCTCCAAGATGGGGTCCGAGTAGATGGGGTCGGAGGTTCGCGCCGCCTCGCCGATGCATCGCCGATGCGGCCCGATGTGCAGCCCGATTTGCTTCACGTCGACGTCGCCGATGCATCGCCGATACTTCGACGATGCATCGCCGGTGCATCGCCGATGCACCGCCGATGCATTGCCGACGTATCGGCGATGTGGCGCGATCCTCCGACCCCGTCTGCCCCGACCCCATCTGGGAGGCCTCGAGGCCTCCCAGATCTAGTTCCTAGATCTAGTGCGACCACGAGTGAGGAACTGGATCTAGTTCCTCACTCGTGGTCGCACGATGACGGGCCAGAGAGCACGAGCAGCTCCGCAGAACAAGCGCGGAGTTTGTGCGTGGGGGGGACGGCCGAGGACCAGTTCGTCAGGGAGCTCACTCTCATCGTTCAGGCGCCCCCCTCCGCCCCCCTCCGCCCTTCTTCTGCGCGATGACTTGGGCGAGACGGCGCAGGGCTCCATGGTCGGTGGCGGCGGACGGCGGGCTCGACTCGGGTAAGGGCGGGGCCTCTTCGCCTCGCTGCAGGTGCTCCTCCCATGTAAGGGCAGGCCCCTGCCCCATCGAACAGGACCTCCTGCTCGGCCTCACGCCCTTGCAGGAGGCGCAACGGGCTGTACCTGCCCCGTTCCCCTCCAAGCTCCAGGCCACGCGTATCATCCACGTGACGACCTGCACACCGCGTGGATCTTTCAACCTTGGGCGAACTCGGCTTTCCAATGGTGCAGATCTTTCGACGTCGATTGATTATGAGCCACTGGCGGCGTTCAACCTTGAACCCCTGCGCTGGGGTCGCCTCTGCGCTGACAGTCGGCACGATTCGAACCTGCCAGAGGAGGAAGTATCCGGAGGAGGGGAGGAGTTGATTTGCAGCAGCAGCAGCAGGAAGGCAGCAGGAGCAGGAGCAGAGGTGGACGGAATCATATAGCAGGTGGAGGAGTTGATTTAGAACCCTCACGGCACGAGCCTGCCACGCTCGCGCTTCGCCCGAAGAAAATAGAAGACTTGCATCAACATACAGTGGAAAGGCCCATGCCAAGAAACACCCTGCCTGCCTCCAGGGCAGGGTGCCCTGGGTTTCTTGGGTGTTGCTGGTTTTGCTGTGGAAAGCGTGACGTCCCCACACCAAAATCAGTGGACGTCCGTGGGTCTCGGGGTTGGGTCTCCTGTGGAAGGTTTCTTGTGGACTGTCCTCCAGTGGAACCGTTCGAAGGCCCGCGCTGATCTCTTGGATCTCTGCGGGATTCGCCTCGCGGCGCCCCCGGCGCGCGCCAGAGGCTGCGGAGCCCAGCTCCGATCCAGGAAGTCCGCGCGGACCGTCGAGGGCCCGTGCCCGTGCCGTCCGCTCTTCCTCCCCCTGCTCGGGGGCGAGAGCGAGGGGGGGGAAGCGAGAAGGAGGAGGCCTTCTCAGAAGGC